GGCATCCGGGGGAAAATGTGGAGGATGTTGAAAAAGATGACAGAATGCACAAGAAGTGCGGTGATGTTGGATGGGGAAATTTCGAAGTACGTGGATATACTCCAAGGAGTCGCACAGGGCTGTACGATGTCACCCACTCTTTTTAAGATTTACATCAACGATTTGATAAGGGCGGTTGAAGCAGTAAGACAGGGAGTCCAAGTAGAGGGAAAGAGTGTGTCCGGACTGATGTTTGCAGATGATTTCGTGGGGGTATCCGAAACACCAGAAGGGTTGCAAGAACAAATAGATGCGGCGGTAGGATACACCCGAAAATGGAGACTGTCGGCGAACGTAGGAAAATGCGCAGTAGTGGTCTGTAACGAAGATAAGAAAAATCCCGTACAATTCAAATGGAAATGGGGGGAGGAAGAACTACCGGTAGTAGACAAGTATACGTACCTGGGAGTAGAGATTTCGAATGAGTGCTCATGGGACGCACACATAGCGAAGTTGATTGGGAAGAGTAAAGCTCAGATAGGCAAGATGGACGAGATCCTTACGGACCCACACCTAGACACTAGGATTAAGAGGTGTATTCTCTTGAATGTGATTGTACCTAAGCTAGAGTATGCAGGAGAGATATGGGAAGGTAACGAAAAGGCCGTCAAGCAGCTGGAAACGGTGCAGATGGCAGCGGCCAAGAAAATACTAGGATGTTCAAGTACAACGAGCAACACTGTATTGAGAGCAGAATTGGGAATGTACTCTCTTAAAACAAAGAGAGACATGCAGAAGTTGAATTGGCAGTACAAGGTAAGTAGAACGTCGGACGATAGACTACCAGCCATGGTTGACGAGGCAGCTTGGGGAAAAGCGACTCCAGGGAAGAAGGGAATCAGATGGGACAAGGTGGTAGAGAAGGTTTGGAAGGAGATAGGAGACGAGGAGGAGACGTTGGACACGGAAGGGTTCGGGGGGTTCAAGACGAAAGTCAAGGAGATGCTAGAGAGTAGGGAGGAGGCAACCCTTCGGAAGAAGGTACGAAGCGAAGACCACTTGGAGATATACGGGAAGTTGAAAGAAGGGATAGGGATGAAGAAGTACTTGGACGGCCCCATGGACTATGCGAAAAAGCTGAAATTGCAATTTCGAGTAGGCGATCTGGACTTGCCAGAACGGAGGAAGAGGTATACCAGCCGTAGGAGAGAGGAAGAGGAGGATAGACACACATACATGTCCATGTGGCAAATCGGAGGAGAGTAGACCCCACATAGTTGGGGAGTGTGAGCTGTACAGGAAGGAAAGAGAGGATCTCGAGGAGGAAATGAGACAGAGAGGGTGTGACATGGACAAGTTTGGTAAGTTAGACAACAGCGAAAAAACGATCGCGATAATTGGGGATGGATGGTGGGCACAAGAGGCCCTAGAGGACGGGGATAAGATGTGCAAGAAAATTTTATGGAGTTTGTGGCAGAAACGTAAAGAGCTCCCAAATGTTGGTGGTGTCTCTAGTAGGTGTAGGAACGGTGCTCCGTCTCGAAAGGGACGCGTGGTCAATGGTCAAATGACTACGGCAAGCAACAAATGAGTACGCCCCCCCCCCCCCCAAGAAAGCTACGTAAACCGTCAAAAAGCACTACTAAAGCATATTGAAATTATAAGTCGAGCATATTTGACCGAAGTCAGCATAATTGTCGAAAAACGACATCAATGGCAGTTTTGGGCGGCGGCAGTGTGTCGAGCATAATTGCCCAAAAAAAAGTTGCCTGAAAAAAGTGTGTAGACTACATTTCGAAAAAAAAACATGATGGGGAAAGGCCTAGCTCTGCCCGAGTATCGTCCCATGGATGGTACCTGTCGACCTCACAGCAGCAATACCGTTACACGTGGACTGATAACGCCTATGATAGCCAGTACAACCACATGAACCAGTTCAGAACACGGGAACCTGCGCCAAGCTTTATCGAATGGCTCATCGGCAAGTTGCCTGACCGAGTGATGCAAACAAGGGGTTAGTTAGGTTCTTCTGCTCATGATTCCATCCCAGAGGAAACAGAGCTTAAAGGTTTTGTGGCACGCAGTTCGCTGATTGGTCAAAACACAATAAATGAACTTTGCACTCCAAATCTTCCTCACGTGGAGATGGTCACAAGAGCCACAGGCAGTGAGGTCTAAAAGAGCACATTCACGTAGTCAAGCCTAGTGTACGTACGAAATATTTCCGATCTCTCTTGATCAAATCAAATACCATCCCATGTTCGCACTTGCCCAACCGGTCATGCGGGCGATTTCCGTGGTAACAGGCTAGCTCACAGAAAAAAATGTGTCAACAAACTTTCTTTGTTGGCCGCCGAGTGGTTCTATAATAAACCACACTAAGTGAGCCTCACTCTAAGCGTTTCGTGGGTGGCTAGTCCCCCACCAACACGAATCTTGCTCAAAAAGCGTTGCAATCTTCGCCGAATATGTGCACAATTGCACATCGAAGCATACCCGCTACCCAACCGCACTGTTCGAGAACGAGTATCAAGATCTTGCCCGCTTTTTCCATCTCTGCCTACGTCGCCCCAGCTTCATCGAAGCGCAACACATGTACTCTTAAAGTTCATGGCAACCGCGATATCGCGATACGTTCGTCGCATTTGGCCCCACGGATGCTCTGGTTTTCTACGACCAGCAATCACACCGCCAGCGTCCATGCAACTAGGCAAACTGTGCTTGGGAGTGTCTATTCAAATACGAGTGAAGTCTTCTTTCAACGTCATCTTTGCTGGGGACGGAAGCATCCCATAGGCACCCCTGCGAAAACAACTCCTGGGATATCGTCTTCGCATCACCCGCAGCAATGGGTGCATTGTCCCACACTCGAACGACAAACAAGGTCTCGTGTCTCGTACCCCCCGCCTTCTTCTGGAAGTAGGCGGGGGAGGCATGTCCGCCGACTTTCGAGTACCCATGCCTTGCGAGCACCTTTGTCGACACGGGTTCCGGCCCGATGTCGTCCATCGGTAGGTCCTCTGGGGTGAATGCCATCGAGACGGTGCACCACAGGAAGCGAGCAGACTGCATGCACGCAGACGAACCCGTGAAGAAATGACCACTTAGACAGAACCATCTCTAGTGATTCGTAGCATGGAGGTAGACGGCAGGTGTCAAGGAACGAAACATAGCCCCCAGACAGAGACCTATCAACTATCTAAAATAGAAACACGTTCGCGCTCGCCCGATCTCGTGCGGCTTTCGATGACGGCAAACCAATAACACGTTAAAATCGGCATGACACAAATGATTGCGTAGAAAAGAGGGGGCAAGCTTTCTTCACTCTTGCGTTAATGCCATTGGTGGTTGGCTCACCATAGGGAACAACCGCATGCACGAAGTCCGGTACGTTTCAGCCAACTAAACGCAGCAAAAACAGCGAAGAACACCAGGTGTACCTGAGAATCCCCCGGCAGCCGATGGAAACCACTTGTCTTAGCCAAGACCTGGCTGGCAGAGGGTGTTCCGAACACGGACGTCGGCTGCAAGTACGGGGCGGTAAACAAGAGAGTTAACGGAACCCGAAAAGCGCATAAGTTCGATGGAGGACTAGAAGCGGCGGGAAACGACACAAAGTAGCCTGCAGAACGGATGTCACCTCTTACCTGAAATGTCCTGCTCCTGCTGTTCTCCACCTCGGCACCCAACGAGGCGTCGACTCCGAAAGCTCCTACACCTACGTTCCCAGCAATGCCCGTAGTCGCGTCACTTGTTGTGGTTATTTCTGCGGCAAGAACAGCACGAACACACACCTGGACCAGCACCGACGAACAGGCAACGGGGCCAATAAGCAACATGGGAGAACGTGCGGGCGGCCATACTGCACGGATGGGAGAAGGTGTCGTACAACGACAAGATCCAGCCATCCCGCCAGAAATCAACCAACATGATAGTCGCGCGGTGCCAGCTGCAACATCGAACACTCTTCTATTACTCACGTCCGAGTAGTTGGAGACCTTGATGTAGCCCTTTGGCATAGGAGTACTGCCAAACGGCGTGCGAAGGGGGGTAAGAGAGACTGGACCACTTGAAAGCGCGTCGTCCTCACGTCCGAACAAACGTCTCCACGCTTTTTTGAAGGCCACGCCGAGGCTGCTAAAGTGCCGGAGCTCAGTTTCCAGCCAGAGCTCTTCGCCTTTCCAAATCACCTGAACGCAGGCGACAACATATAGTAGTCATCCTCCAGGTACCTTACAGACCAGCCGAACTGTGGGCAGTGCAAAGCGATAAGCGACAAGGTTGATGAGCATAAATGGTGTACACACAAGGCCAAATCGCTGCACGTTAAGACACATTTGTTTTGGACAGTAAGGTGGTTGGCTTTCGCACCGCAAAGTCGCCGTCCGCTTCCCAACGATCGTGAGGTCCATCGCCTTTCACCACTGGGAAATACGTTTCACCAATGTATCTTTGCATGCCCGTTCTTCCCCCTTTGTCGCCGTTCGTCTGGACCAGCACGTCGTATGTTGAAACGAAGTAGCGAACAGATGCTGTTCCTGAAGCGAAAGCAACCCCACTTGGCCCTGAGATGACCGGGTCGATCAGGCACGTCCCGCTCTCCTCTCTTATGAGCACGGGAACAAGGGGGGATAGGAAGGAAATTACAAGGGCACAACCTAGGTCAAGCGCATAACGAGAAACAGTCTTTCCGCCATCACCGCCAACCACTGGAGGCCCTCCGAACAACCGCCAGAAAAGCTGGAAAGGACTTGAGTTTCGATCCAACCAAAACACAGTTAATCACAAGTCCGCTTGGATGTTCCGGAGCCCACAAAGTCATCGTATTCTGCACAATCTGCCCCCGCCCGGCTAGGCGGGCGAGAGAGCGCCGTCGCAACCACTGTATGTGACGCCCGGGGGGGGTTACCCATTTGTTGCATCATGCCACTTTCGAGATGGGGCGCCGTTTCTACCACTCGGAGGCACCACCAACATGTGGATGTTCTATTCGATTTTGCGCCCACAACCTTCTTTATCTCATTCCCACCCAACCAATTTTCTAGCGATTGCTATCTCGCCATTTTCTATGGTGCTAAGCTCGGCCATGTGACAACATGTGTTTCTTGTCTCCTCCACTGGGGCCTCGTCTTTCGCCTATAGTATGCAATATTTATGTTCTTCATCTGTGTTCAACTCGCGCTCCCTCTCTCCTTTGCTTTGGTTTGCCACACGGGCATACCTGAACAACCTCTTTCATTTGTGGCAAGTTCATGTTCCAGAATGCACTCCAAATTGTAATTCGGGGTAGCTCAAAGGGCGGTAATGATAGGATGGTGTGATTATCGTAAATCATGGTACAGACAAGATCGTTTCCAAGCATCGAGAGGTGTCGTGGGGCCTTCAACTATCACTGCCGTGAACAAATCAGACTTCGTCCCCATCTACTTCAACCCTGCCCCCCAAACCAATTGAACATGACAAAGCTGGCCTCAGGTACGGTTACAAAAGAAGTTCAATACCCTACCCGCCACCCCCCTCTTGAGTCCACCCTGGGATAAGCGACCAACAGAAGCACATTTTACCCTCCAGGGTAAATCGAAGAGACACTACGGCTTTCCTCGAACTGAAATACATGTAAAATACGGTGTCATGTGGATGACAGCATTGGTTATTCACCTGTGCGACAGTTCTTCCATGTACACGTTGTCCAGTAGTCGCACGTTTTCCACGTGCTTTCCGTCCTGCGGAGCCACCACAACCTCGACTTGACCGTACTTATCCCGCCATCTTTGGCATGAGACGTCGTGCCCTGCGCGGCAGGTGGATGACAAGCAGCAAATTCTAGCGTGGCCTCATCTTGGAAAAAACTTATTTCAGGCGGTCATCTAAGTACTTCGGGTGAGAAGTGCAGAAATTCCTAGCATGGAACATCACCTAAATTGCCGTCAGGCCGCAAGTGCGCGGTACGCGTCCTAACTGAGTGCATCGCGAGTCGAGTACCACCAGCCACCATCCGTGCCCCTGGGTTAGTATCGTCGCCGCGGGATCGCAACCACATGTGGTGGCATGAAGGTGGCGCGGTGGTATTCTCTTCGATGATGGTCTCCTCCGGCGCTTTGCTGCTTTCGACGCAAGGGTTCGCTTCTTGATCTTTCCTCGCCACCAAAAAATTAGCATCGGCAAACGCGACGATGGTTAGTGTTCAGAACTGCTGCTGTGTAACAGCACGAGTTGGATGCAAGTAATGTGCTTATTTGGCACCGCATGCTGCCCGTTCTTAGATGCGTTAGGAGCGAGTGCCCCATCTTGCCGACCGCAACTTGTCATTGATACCATGGTCCAACAGAACATGAACAATACCTTCAAATTACTGCCGTCACAGGTCGTCGATGCCGTGTTTGCCTCTTTCGGAAATGCGGCTGACGCAGACAGATTCGTCTGGATAACGCGCATAATTTGGGAAAGAATCCCACCATCTTCACTGCCGACCTCAACAAAATCAAAAGGAGATGATTCTCCGTTCGACGCAGTGTCGCAGGTAGATGCCGGAGCAGTCTCGGTATCACTCCTGTCCGCCTGTGGCGAACTGTGCTGCTCGTTGGCCTTGTCGTGGGAGATAAGATTCTCCCTAGTGAGCGTGTCAACAACCACCCTCCCTCGCGTACGAGATGAGGGGCCCAGAGATACCGTTAATAGCGTGGAGCTGCGGAGATGGACCACGGCCTGCAACTGCATCTTGGGGTCTTCCCCTTCCGAGGCAATAACCACCATCGCTTTGCGGCTGAAAAAGCTTCCGCCAGCTACACGGGGAATCTCGAACCAATGGCTGTGCCCTGGCGGAATGACCACCACCTGTCTTATTGCTGCACTACTGATGCTAGCGGATGGGTCGAACTTGACTTCCACATTGCGTTTGACCCCCGCCCCCGCCCCGGCCATCACAGACTCTAAGCCAGCACTCCATACGGACATGCTCATTACAAACACAAAGATGCTCTCGCCGCCGTTGCTGTTGTTCCTGATAACGCTTTTGTGCCTCCTTCTGGACCCGAAGGGGATTCTCTCCGAGGTGATCATCCGAGGGCCGAAGTCGAGCGAGCGTCTTCTTCCAAATGCTGAAAACCGTCATGTTGGTGTTACTAAGCAACGAGCAGAGGAGAGACAAACCGCAGAGACAGCGATACGGCGACGGCGAAATAACGTTGGCCAAAAAGTCCGTGAGGCATAGCGCATCTCCGGGTGGGCACATTGTAGCCACCAAGAAAAAAAAGCTCCGTCGGCCCTGGGAGCTATGGATCTCGCCGGGAGTCGTGAGGGTGCATGGGTTTTAGCCGAACAGCCTAGCTAATTTCGGGTAGGGGAAAGAAAAATCGGGTACCCAGGGGGCGAGAAGCCAGATCGGGTGCACACCCGGCGGAAAGACGGTCAAGGTCGGGGAGGGGTGGGCATCGGCCAATCAGATGGTGTCATGCGATCGCTCCCAGCAGCGTCATGTAGGGGTACCCGATTATGGCCGTGGTTGGACCGGGTGTACCCGATTTGTCTGATTTTGGCCACTGCTATTTTCTCGCATGCATGCGTTTTGCCGACTCTCGCCACCTCAGCTTCCTTGGGTCCTACGGTCCCGAGTCCTCTATCGGTCGCCACACAAGACGTTGCATAAACACAGCTCGCGGAGAATAGTTTTTCAATTGCTGCTGCGTGACTCTGTGCACAGAAACCACCAACACCCAAATCGGTGCGGGAACGGATGTATTTGGTATGACGTCTACCGTAGGTGACATAAGATACCACACCCCTTGTATAAATTTTAAAGGCTCGAGTACTCCACGTCGAAGAGGATGCGTAAACCCAGCGAGACCTTGGCGGAAATCTCGACGAGACGGTCCCCGCATCACCATTATCGGCACCGCCACTCTTTGTGGTCCAGGGGCTGCGTCACCTGCGGTACTACCGTATGACCACGTCAACGACCGGCCGTTTGTTCCAGGAGCCTATTTTCAAAATGAATGATCGAAAGCATCGCAGACACACAGACTACTGCAAGGTATTGAGTCGGCTACCCCGCGGCTCATTACCCTGCCCTATCTACATTGTATGCATAGTAATCCGCTAAACATGTTCATTTATCGACGTCTCCCCGCACACGGTAAGTAGGGTCTTGAACAGCAGTGTTATGACAAATAGTCTTCAGTTCCCCCGCATTTTTTTTGGCTACCTTTTTCGTGGGTACGGGCCACCGAGAGCACGGAGAGTGTTGCGGAGGATGGTCCAGTAGCAGCTTAGCTGCTGTAAGATCTAGTACATAAAAGAAACGGCACAAATCGATGCGTCGGGCGCGATGTATGGATGATCTGCGTGTTAAGATGCACAGGATATCCACTATGCTACAAGTCAGCGCTGACTTGTAGCATAGTGGATATCCTGTGCATCTTAACAAAAGTACAACCGGGGTTCGAATACGGTATACATTCCAGTCGTCCAAGTGAAGACACATATTCCCGCCCTGTGAGTCGATGAACCGCATGGGGGCAGCGCTGGTTACAGGGATTACAACCCTGGGTTTTACCGAGGTCCAACAGCTCCAACAGGCTGAAGGACCCCGGTTGGTTGTACTTTTGTTAAGATGCACAGCATATATATCCACCAAGTCAGCGCTGACTTGTAGCATAGTGGATATGCTGTGCATCTTAACACTGCGTGACGGGGACAACCGGTTTGTCGGGTCATTGATCTCCCTCTCCGATCATTCAATCATTCACACACGCTGAGCAAAACAACAACGGACAACAGAGCAACAGGACCGGGGCAAAGAAACCGACTTGCCAGGGCACGCGCCGACCTTCACCGGGGTCGCCGCGTGCATGTCATATCGTTCACTGCTAATCTCTGCACTTGTCTGCGCGCTCTCTCTCCAAGGTGGTTACACCTACGCGCCCTGGCTAGTGCTGTTGTTGGCTGCCTCGTGTATGGTACGAGGGGGGAAAGAACAAAAGTAGTACCATCCGGCCGGACGATCATCAGAAAAAAAGCGTAACAACAGCGTAGACATTCGGGGACACGGCCAAACGAAACAACTGCTTCAACCCAGCGGTGTACAACAGCATCAAAGGTCCGCACGGGGCTTACGCCACAGACCCTCTAGTTTCAACGATGCAATGATGTGCTTCTCTGCTTCGTCGCAAACTCACCACTACATTCCGGCGGTACGACTTTCGGTGGAAAAGAAACGAGAAGGAATGCCAGAGGGTGTGAACTGTGAAACCGCGTAATAACCGTCAACACGCAACGTTTTACGCGAAAATATATACAGCCCCTTACTCACATGCTTATACGTCTGTCTGTGAAACAGGCTGCCTACTCGTCGGCCCTGCTGGCTCTGACGGTGCGGGTTGGTGTGGACAAGGCCACGCCGGGTGAGGAGGTGCGCGGGTGCACTTTTCTTGGGGCCCCGCACTTGGGACCTCCAACAACAACATACATACCTGGTACAACATACTCCGGCAGATAGTGGGCTTCGATCGAGTATCAAATCTTGTCTCGATCTACAGAAAAAAAGCGTTTACTGTAGAGTCTAAAAGATAGATTAGCAATGAAGTCGGAGCGTCAGCATAGGCTTGCCGATACTTTCTACGATGATATCCCAAGCAGCATACAGCGATAGCGTCAGCGTAGGCTACCAATATTTTCTACGATATATTGTATTGGTAGCCTCTGCATGCGATGATGTATCATACTATGTTCTCAGTTTTCCAAAGTCTAAACACCAGTCGTCCACCACCAGTCAGTCAATACGAAACTACTACTGCCATCATGCAAATTAACCGTCCGTCGCGGTCGATTGTTTGTGTACAATGTTAGTGCCTGGGTTGTAGCCCTTTTTGTGATACACGGCAGACTACAAATAGTATTGTAGCGGTCTGCGATTTTACAAACAAATGATCTTTCTATCATCGAGATCCGTCGGTCAAGTACCGCGCCAGCTTGTTGGATAAAGCATGCTATCAGGGAAGTTGGTCAGGGTCCCATACCCCTCACACACACATACTCTCCAGATCGGACCATCATGTTGAATTGATTTCCAATACTTCATTCAGAGGTACCGTAGGCGTTTCGTTTATTTTAGTACACTGCTGCGCATGCATGTTGCTTCAGTGAAGCAGTACCTTTAGTTACGTGTACTGGTGTATGTACAGTTAGTAGCTGGAAGAAGCACCTGTAAAATGTCACTTGCTGCCACTCACGGCTGCCTGTGAATCGTCACAACTATTAACTATTATTTATTGTAGCTGCTGGTGGTGTGTGCCATGTTTTGTCACCTCTCGCAAGAAGGTTGGACATCTTGAAGAACTATAAAAAATTAAAATTAGAGGGTGGTGGTAAAGCATCACGGCCTTCGCAGCGCCATGCATGGCAGTTAGCGCTGGCATTTGACCTTTAGCAGTCAGTCATGAAATCAAGGCTGGAAAAACTCAGTCTTCAGCACCATTTGTGAGCCCGGTTGAGAAACCCTAGACAGAAAACCTATATATATAGCAGCCATTCGTAGCATGACCCTACGAACCCCTGCCTCGACCAAAACTACAGCAGTAGAGGTTCCTACATACGGTGAGAGGGCTTAAACTGTAGAACTTGTAGTAATAGCCCTGGAGGGGTGCACTGCACATCACCCCGACAGCGAGCATGGTCGCAAATCATTCCTCCTACAGTTTCACGGTGTAGTTGCGCCGTTTTTTCGATACTCCCATGGTTCGCATACTTCTCCCATGCCCAAGATAACGGGACATCATGAGGGCGTCCCCCTGCGCCCCTGCGCGAAAGGGTGTGCTACAGGCATGCAGTTTGTGCACAAAACAAGATACTGCCAAACCATAAATTACTCCACCCGTATACATACACCGCACGTTAACAATGGTCTGCACCTCATTTCACGGCACCTTGTACATTACCGTCGTTGCCTCCCTCACGTCCCGCGGCCACCGCCGATACCTGTGAACAACTAATGCCTCGCCCGCCCCCAACAGCGTAGTCCCCTACATATTATGCCGCCGCCACGACGCACAAAACAGTGACGGAGCAAGGAACATTCTGAGAAACTTCTGAGGACCCACCGCCTCCTATCCGCGTCTCCCACGTGCTGGCGTATAATTGCAACGGAAGGACATTTATATTTCTTCATGACACCACACCTGCATGTATGTACGGATGTGATCGGGACCGGTGGTTAAAATAAAGCTCTTCCCGCCCCCACACAACCCTGTATCGGGCCCAAAAAAATCGATCCAAGGCGATTGATTCGTCTCAAAACCATTGGTTCGGTTGATCGAGAAGGGTTGGAAGACCTCGAAAAACAAAAGTACAAAAAGCAAGCCAAGCCGTTCGGTTTCGAAACCACACCTGTCACTTTCCGTATTGTGGGGGTAATCTGCATGTCGCCGACGAAAGAAACAAGCCAAAACAAAATAGCCACGGAAAAGACCTCGAGGGGGAACACAGAATAACGAACGACTGCAAAAACATCGGGCTTCTGGTCCAGCTCCGTTTGTTTACGTGCCAAAAAGAGGGACTCAGCCTCGACCAACCCGTTTCGCCCCTAACGGGGGTGTTTTCCCAGAAGTGCAGGGCATACCATATAAATCAAGTCATCACACAGATCGCCATGTTCAAGGCAGAAAGGCACCCCTAGGGCATATAAATCAAGTCCTCACGGACACAGACAGTGCCCCTCAGGGCAGACAAAAGCATCCCCACCCGCGGTTACACACCGGTCGTGACGAAGAACTGAGGCACAATCTCTCCGTGAGCAACCATACCCACGGGGGTGGCAACTACACGATAACGCAGCAAAAACGATATGCATACCTGTCAACACGGGGTGGCAAAGACACCACGAAAAAGCAAAAAAGATAAAGAGACACACTTTAGAGTCACACCACTCCCGTTTCGACGAAGAATAAGATTAATTGTGTGTGGGCTCCGTGTATCTCCCACACGGCAGCAGCAGCCTAGAACGTCTCCCGATTGCTGTTGGTCCTGCGGGCGGCCGCGTTGCCCCGGCGGTTGGCCGTCTTAACCTCGTCGTCTGTCTCGAACTCGTCTTGCCGCGTGTCCAGGAGCGGTTGCCTCTGCCACAACAACAACGACAACAGAAAAGAGGGTGGGGAGGTCGGGTAAGCGTAACGGACCCAGCGCCAAAGTCAGCAGGGACCCGCGCGGGGGACTGCCAATGTGGCCGCTGCGACAACAACAACAACAACAACAACAACTACACCATCATCCATAGAGAGAGGGTGGGGCGTCGGGTAAGAAGAACGGATCCAGGGCCAAGACCGCAAGGCGGGATGGATACTCGTCGACAGGGGAAGCACGAGGGCGACGCTGTATCATAGTCAAATTACAACAGAGGGGAGACGGGTAAGCATAACGGACCCAGCACCAAGACTGCGACATGGAGGGACTACCAATAGTCGACAGAGGAAGCAAAGGGCGACGCTGTAACATGCTACATATATGACAACAACAGAGGCGGAGGCGGGACAGGAAAATGGACCCCGTGCCAAGACTGAAGGCGGGGGGGACCACCAATAGTCGACAGAGGAAGCACACGGCGACGCCTACGGAGCATACCAACAACGACATTCGAGAGGGCGGAGAGTAGCGGGAAAGCAGATTGGATCCAACGCCAAAACTGCAGGCAGGCGGGAGCGAGTATTATTCGACAGAGGAAGCATGAAGGCTACGCTCTAACATACGTGGAGAAGGTGAACACATGGGTCAGCAGAACAAACTGATCCAGCGCCGAAACAAAACGCCCGCCCACCGAGTGATCGGTTGCTACACCATAAGCCTGTTGGCCTAACGTCAATGCAAACAGCATGAGAGCGACGTCACCCATACGCACCTCGCTTCCTTTCAAGCTTGAGGAGTCGAGGGCAGGCATATACCGAGACGCCACCAGGAAGACGGCCCCGCTGAGCAGGTACATCCCGCATACGGAAATCAGTAATGTGATCTGTGATCAAGGGGTATAACGGAAGGGGCACCGGCGGAGGAGAGAAAACCTTAGAAGGTTTATATTTTCTTCCACCAGCACCAGCGAGAAAGACGGGGTAGACAAGAGGTGACCTAGCGTCGTCTCCCACGACAGACATGGGCATGCGGCGCGGCGGCACTAAGATTTGGGAGAGATCCTTGCCGGCAAGAACAAATCTTCACGGGCGATAGGTACACCAACACGGTCCCTGACCAAGTGCAAACGCCAACTAATCACTGCAACCGAAAAATGTGGGACCGGAACCGAAAAATGGGTCTTGGTTTCTCGTGTGTCGCAAGCTCACCTTGAGAGCAGCGTCGGACGTGTACGCGTCAAGGATAACGCCAACAATGTACGTCATGAAGCTCCCGGCGATCGTGGTGAAGAAGCTGTAGTAGCCGATGCCCACACCTCTGCAGACCAGGCAGGAGATGAGAGAGAGGGAGAGGGGGACGAAGGAACAGAGAGAAGCAAAAAGAGACGGAGAGAGAGAGATAAGAGTTATTTAGGTTAGTTGAGAGAGGGAGGGCCAGAGGATGACCGGACAAACACCCCCCGCCTCTAATTTTGTACAGTAACCAACCAAGGTCAACAGCATCACCCAACGCAAAAATGCGCCTCCCTTGGCCCAGCTTGAGTTTGTGCGGCCGGTCCGCGTCAAATACGTGATTGGTTCAATACGACAGGGTGACTGCGACACTGGTTGAGAAACAAAAGCCAGGAACCACTAAGACAGGCACCAACCAAATCTCGGAGAAACGTCGACGCATGCATGTCCAAGTCAACGGAACTCGTGTGTAACGCAAACGTCCCTTGCAAAGCAGAGGACAACAAAAAAAAGAGGAGTTCGATCATGGGCATAGTGCTGTGCGGATAGGTTGCGTGTTGAGGGAGACGTACCGCACGCGGGCAGGGAGGGCCTTCTGGAGGACAGAGATCGCCGGGCCGAACCAGCATTCCGCCACCAGGTCTGCACATGAAGCGGCGCAACAACAGTCACGGAACATTCCGGAGAGCAAAAAAAAACACATGCGAAGCCGGTTTAGGAGAAGGTGGGGCCAGTCAAATCGACTGTTACATCGGGGATGAGACCACGCGAAAAATCCGGTTTAGGAGAATGTGGGGTCAGTCAAATCGACGGGTGTATCGGAGATGAGACCAAGCGGTAAATTGTGAAGCCAACTCGACGGTCATATAGGGGATGAGACCACGCGGAAAATGCCAAGCCGGTATAGGAGAATGTCAGTCAAATCCACGGATTAGACAACGCGGAAAAGGCGAAGCTGGTTTAGGAGAATATAGGGTCAGTCAAATCGACAGATGAGACCATCACTCTGGGAGTGAACCCTGGGAGTGAAGGAGGTCGCACCGCACCACTTTTGTACTCATCCACACGCATCTCTCTCTATCTGTAGCTCTTCTCATTTTGTCAATAATTTAGTACAACACAACCACAACTTGACCCGTAGGAAAGAAAAAAAAAAATGATATCAAAAAGATGGAGTACTTTGTTGGAGAACTTTCGCTTTTCACTCCCAAAACTGCAAGTCTGCAGAAAAAAAAAAAAAAACTCACACTCCACAAATAGAAAGAACATGGCGCCGTAGAAGTTGGGGGTGACGATCACCAGGAAAAACGTCGGGGCTCCTAACAGCGCTCCGATGGCAGGGATGTACATTCTTGCCCTGTGCTGGCCAGCCTTTTCCCACCTGCGGCGGTGTTTCAGGAGCGGCGGTGCGGGAAAAGACGGTCATGCTATATGCTGATGGTGGATTGTGTGTACATCGCTTGCGAACCCCTATGGTCGATTGTGGTTGAGTAGACCTATTGTCGGGAAAGCTGGCCTGTGACCACGGGAGTCGACCCCGTCAAGTGATAGATGAAAAGTTCTTAGGGTCAAGACAACAACAACGATTACCTTGTTCGTACAGAAACACGACCGACTCCTTCGCTCTATTCATGCGCGATGAGCCCAGCCGTTCAGACCCGGCATTTTCGAGGCGTGTTGTCGTTAGTAAGCGTGTCAGCAAAAAAGAGATTGTTATTCCTTGCGTGGGAAAAGGATCCGTTGAAAGCTCTTGCCGCTCCCCTCAAGTGCCGCTCGGCCCCCCAAGGCACGCCGACCGTCACACACTATCCCATGGGCGCGAGCCCCAGCCAGTGCTGTGTAGTACCCAATTACGGGGGCTCCCCCTCACCTATCAGCCGCGTAACCCCCGGCGTACGACGACAGCGCTCCACCCACCGACACGACCGACGCGTTCAGGTAGCTGTCTGAGATCGCCGAGAAGCACACGGGGAGAGCAGGTTCACAGGACCACCGACCGGTGGTATGGATAGTTTCAGCGACCATCGTGGGCAAAGCATGCATGTCAGAAAATAACTGCGTGGTTCTGGTGGGACTGGAGGGCGCGGGAACGTCCGCGCCCCAGCTATGACCACACCCACCCCAAAAACAAACTCGTGTGCAGTAATCGTCCAGTGAGATAGCGCTAGCGGTGATGCCTAGAGACCTCCACCAACTCCTGCAATCTCGTCTCTCGGATAACATGTGAGAGAGGTTTCCCCCTGATAGCGGCAAGAGAACAAAACACACGCGAGAGACTGGTAAAATTGTACTTGTAACTACTATTTTAAACTGATTCCTGACAGATGGTGTTAACTGTCCGAGTATATCTGCACACAGTACTGTATCGCGCTTCTGAATGTTACTCTCAAACTGCATGATGTATTGCACCAATTACTCACAGTCTGCTGTACAAGTAGAACTGTATACGACTCCTTACTCACAAATGGTGTTGTCGTCCGGGTAGATCTGGCTGAAGAAGTCCGGGAGGTAAGAGCCGATAGCGTACCCGGCCATGAACCGGACCATGCCTCCGAAAATGAGCAGCACGATCAGCGGGTTCCCGAAAATTAGCTTAGCGCTGCCAACACACAAGGCGGGGAGACGCCCAGGGGGGGGGGGGGGGGTACTCATAGTCGTGCATGCCGTAGTCATTAGACCATTGACCTCGCATCCCTACAAAGCCGGGACGGAGCACGCCGGGTTCTCGCCGGACCAGGCTCTCACATCATGAACGAAACGCCGTGAGGTATTCGGCGAGTCGCATGAAGAGTGCCCTGCATCCTGCTAAGGGTGTTCGGCATCTTGTGCTTACTTCCTTGCGTACGGATGACAGCTGCGTATGACTTAATTTATTTTCTGGTGCGTTCACTTCCAGAGACAGTTGGAAGCACTGCGTAAATGCCTCGAGGATGCTTGACCATTTTAACACAACGTGGTGCGATCATCCCCCTTGCGCGGAGTGAGTTTTCTCCACCCCGCACAACATGATCTCCTCGACCACCATTATGGTTACCGCCAAAAAAAAACCCGGTAACCTGGTTGCCGAGTTCACGAAGTGAAATGGCTTCTTTTACAACGTCGTTGCCAAGCGACGAAAACCCAACCCCGATGGCAAACACCGGGGAGGGGGGGCGGGGGTAATTATGTTCTGCATGCCTTCGTGTTAGGACGGTGACAAGGGGGGGCATCGAAAAACTGATGCTTCTGCCCTGCTGAAAGCTTCACGCAGAACAGCCCATTTATCCCACCTGACTGGCCCCTTGCTCTTTTCGATGGCGTACATAGCCCTTCCTTCCTTTCGCCTCTACTGCCCCCCCCCCACCCCCACCCCTAGGTCATTCAAAGGGGACTATCCCCCCCATCCCTGCGCGCACCACCAACGAACAGGAACGAACGCTGAGCCGCAACTTAGAGGCGTGCTATGCTAACAAAAACACGGATGGACACGACACGGCATCTTTCCCCGATGTCTCGATCCCGCCCACCAACCGCCGCAACTCTTTTTGTTGTCTAAAACCCTGCTACAGTGGTGGTGGAGCAGCTGATAAACGACCGCCGTATTGAGGCATCCGCCATACTCCATGGGTAGAACAACCTTAAATATTCCGTCTGCTGCTGTATGGCAGCAAGTTTCACCCGCCTTGTAAACAGGGCGACCGACTTTTATGCAGACCGCCATTTAGGAGACCGCGACCGCTGTACAACCAATTCGCTGATTGGTTGGTTGTTGGCGGCTGCTGCTGTCTCTCGCAAAGCAAAGCGTCGTTCTATATATACTGCAGGGGCAGGATGACGTGCCCGCGTGCAACAGCAGGCAGATTTCACCCACCTCTCGCGGGCGGTATAGTCCTTCTCCGCGTCCCCTGAAGACCCGTTGGTAGGCGCGTAGCCTCCCCCCTCCTCCGCCTCCGAGGTACGGTTCGCGGGAGCGGGAGCGGTAACGGCGGGCGTGCGCGCGGGCTCCCTAACCGTGAAGCGTACCAGTAGCGACAGCAGCAGGCCGTAACCGGCAACGGTGAAGGCGCTGCCTCTCCAACCGATCCCCTGGGCCATGGCAATGCTCAGGGAGCTCAGGCCTCCGCCCACGTAAACGCCGAAGGCGAAAACTCCATTGGCCTGAAAACAGTAGATTAGTTGTCACGTACATAACGGAGGACGAAAGAGAGAACAAAATTTAATAGGACACGGCCGACTGTTGTTGTCGTGTAACGGAGGACAACACAGAGACAAGAAAAAAAACAGGCACTCTTACTTTTACTTTTTTCGTGCTGATGAAGTAGACAGCGGAAAATAGTGCACGGCGGAAACAACAGAACTATGCAACATTGGTAGTTCAGGCGCGTTTTCACGAGGGAGGTCGTCGGGTAATACGCCAATGGTGTTCAGTTTTGCTGTTTCTGTCGTGCATCCATGTACAGTACTTCATCCGAACGGTGTACAGTACCCCTCTTTTGGCACGTGACCACGGAATGCGTCCGCGCCAGTTGGACCAGTACGGACATGACGGGGTACTGACTGGGTAGAGACCGGAAAGATTTTGAATGTGAAGACGACGACAACAGCAACAACAACAACAACAAACCTGGGCCAATGACTCCGCAGGGAAGTAGTCCGCGATCAGCGAGTACGACGCGGGCATCGAAAACGACTCCCCGATGCCGAGAAGGATCCGCGACAGGAGGAGCTGGACGAAGTTCTCGGACATGCCGAGGCAGACAGTCGCCACGTTCCAGATCACCAAGCCGTAGAAGATGATGAGCTTGCGGTTGTACAGGTCGGCCGCGCGGCCCATGAACAGCCCGCAGATAACCTGTCACCCAGCGAGTATGCGCGTGTTCGGAACAGCAACCCTTGATGTGGCACAAGACAATTTATGCGGTGATACAACTTTCCCCGCAAACATGGTAATAGATTCTTCCTTTGGGGGGAAATGTTGCGCGACCTATTAAATGTCGACGAGAGATTGACAGAATATTAAGCTGCGATACGAACTCTCCCTGGGAGCATGGTGCCTGTCCCTTCCCGCCTGGTCATTTAGCGTGCCTCCAGTCTCTTAGCTTTCCGACGAAATAAACCTCAAGAGGTATCCATGCATGCCACAAAGACAAGCGCTCGAGTTGACCTAAAAGCTCCTGGTTCTAGTTGTGTGTGTGTTAGGGGCATAACAGCCGTTGCTTGCTGTGCTACTGTGGGTTCCAACAGCTGCGATGCACGTACAATAGCTTGACGCAGGCTTTTCTGGGCCCGTCTTCGCGAGCATACTACGTGCCATATGTGGAATAGAGCGATAGGTTTCGCAACCCTAACCCAAACAAGCAACCAACCATACTATTTTCGAGGAGGCTACTGATATCTGTCGGGGTCCTTGACCCGGCATCACAACGAGCGGTGCGCTGTGATGACCTCTTGCTTTCTAACACCTGAATTGTGATAACCTCTTGCATTCTAACACCTCAAGTGTGATAAACCTCTCGCGTTTTAACACCTCAGCGTGTTAACCTCTTGCATTCTAATACCTACAGCAGTGTGATAGACCTCTAGCATTCTAACACTTCAAGTATGATAAACCTCTTGCATTCTAACACCTCAAGTGCCAAGATCTCACGCAAAGTCGTAGGGTGTCCGTCCTTGCGCAGAAGGAGGAGAACATGTTACGCTGGTTATCTGCAACGTTATGGTGTGTGTGCGTGTCTTGCGTACAACAAAATATCTTACGCTGGCGATCTGCAAACGTTTCAGGGGTGTGTGCGTGTCTTACGTAACAGAAGGAGAAGCCGTATCCCACAAGAAGACCATACTCGCTGGTCGAGATCCCGGTCGCATCCTCGATGCTGATGAAATCTTTCTGGTAGAGGAGACGGAGCAAGGAACGGGAAGGGTTTGTGTAAGAGGAAGACCAAAGGTGGGGGGAGAGAAAGTGTCAGAGAAACGGAGAAGCGAAAAAGAGAGAGAGACTCAGAACGAGGCAGGCAGACACACGGCAAAACTTTAACAGACCTCAAGTCTAACGAGGACGAGCCAGCGGATTCATTACGTTTGCAAAGAAAGCTGGAACACAAGGAAATGTCAATACCCTAACCCTATTTACCAACATCGCATCTAAGACGTAAACTCAAGCGCCCTATGTTACGTCAGAAGAACCCCCCCCCCCTCCAGAAATTTCGGCCTCAGAGGAAACTATTATTTTTAAGTAATTGATGGGAAAATACTACGGAGTGTGGTATCTTCAGTTTTGCAGAGGGTAAACAGCTGGATCTACGGATGCCCCGCATATTTTAGGATATAGGGGTCGATCAAAAGCAAGGCATCTTGCAACGGTTGATTGACATCAAACCTCCGCATTCGTAACAATGCCCACGATTCTGTATATATGCTTGGCAGGGCACAGCTGACGTTGCGGTGTTGTGGGCGTGTACAAATGGGGAGCGGGGTGGGTGATATCTGCGGACCCCCGACGTCGGTGATACGTGTACGTGTGTGTGAGCGGCATTTCCTCGTTTTGTCCTTCTCGCGTTCGCGTTCGGCGGCATCTCTCAAAATCACAATAGCGCGGGGAGCACAGCACCATTCCCCCGGCCCCCTCTCTTGACGGAGGCATGAAAAATCGATTTCACCAACCGGCTTGTGGGACTCTTCTGCTGTTCGGGGGGGGGGGGTGCCTACGGCCTAGCGGCAGTGGCGTGATGTTTGCTTGAAATGCCGTGAACGGTGCTGCTGCTGCTGCTGCTGCTGCTGAAAGCATGACGGAGGTACCAGGCCGTCTCTGGCCGAGCAACACAATGTATGCATATGCATATGCATACAACCATGGGTTGCATCTGCATAGGAAATAGCCGAGCCACGATGATGACGATTTGTTCCATCCGAATCCCGTGTTGCCCACACAGCAGCAGCAAGTTGGTGACAACGTAAATACGATTGCTACCTCTAGATAGAACATGGGCCCTTTTCCGCCGTACATGTAGCCTTGCTTGGTGGTTTGTGTGCTTGCCACCGCACAGCTGCAGATGCGGCACTAACACCGCATTTTTTCAGCCGATGGTTCGAAAGCGTCCGTACACTGCTGTACACACACGCTTCGCCGAGAAAAGCTCGTCTCTTGAACAGATCGTTCGCCATGGGTCGTTTATAGACCAGCTGTGTGGGTTTTAATCGTGGGATTCCATCCCGCGTCCACGTGTCCTCGTGGACGCGCCATGATGTGGCGCAAGCAAGAAATACAAGAAAAACATTATATGTGCCAACAGCTAGTGAGGGAGGGATTTAATTTTCGAAAAGGTGTGTTTACATCAATGATACATATATCCATACATACTATAACACAACACAAAACCCAAACTTAAACAAGCTGAGCTTTCGGCGAAGAAAAGGGGGGGGCTATGTGGAGGTCAGGATATCGAGATTCAACAAGCACAGACACACGTACATATTTAGTAGGGTCTGAGGAATACTGCTGTATGTAATACGAGGTGATGAAGATCACGTCTTCCCCCAGGGTTCATGACTCTTCCGGTTACCAACACAGCTGCGAATGGTTGGATGAATCTTTAGGAGGATGGGAAGATGAGTCCAAGAAGGCTCGCCCACTCTCGGCACCACTCTTAGTTCGCTCGGTCACGCCGGACATTCCTCGCCACATCGCACCAGAGGGAAAGAGCCAGCCTCCGGTGGGAGGTCACAGCCACCACACTCCGGACTCTCCGCTCACCCAGAGTACAAGGCTCCATGCATTTTTATCTCTTTCTTTCGGAAAAATACTGCTGACTTCTGGTGCACAGGGGGTGACACCTACCGCTGCTGCATGTATTATTGGACCCTCTGCGATGGATGCGCCGCACGTAAAGATCGTGCAGCGAGCACGTCCACGGGGCACTACATCCGCTGTCTGCCTACTACGTAGAGCGAAGCCACTACCGATCTGCATATAGCTGCATCGCCTGGTATGTATGGACATGGATGTACGACCCCCCGACCGGGTGTTGGACCGCGGGTGTTTGTAACGTATTCTCCGCACACCACAGATGTGGATGTGGAGACGAGAGACACCGGGCGTGCCGTGACACCTGCACAGCAGCAGCGCCGTCGCTAGTAAAACGAAGTGCAAACACGCTTAAGCCTTGTCACAGGGTCGTCTACAGGGGCTCCTACCGCGTCATCGTCGTCGTAGTCGTCGTCCGACACGGCGTAGAGGTAGTTCAGGAGGTAGCGCGCCCACTGGTTGCTGACTGCAAAGCATTGTCATGAGCATATGACGGCACGATCGCCGAGACCACACGCGGACAAATTACGGACAACCTTGTTGTTAGCGATTTTGCGTCAGTTATCGTGTACGACACAACCGCCTTCGCCACTGTCGAAACTCCCACGCGAGAAGACATGATGGGATCAAAGGTGGGGTGACTGAGACACGAACGGGATCGGGGTACAGAGGGCTCTCGACAACAACGCTGGTACCCGTCTACATATTTGGTTACTACTTTTCGCGTGATGGATCCACAGCAGCAGTAGCAGGGCATGCAATACACCGACCGTCGTAGGCCGGCGGGACTAAGGTGAAACACCCAACTCACCATACACGCCAAGAAGCACAAACAACACGTAGCGGGCATAATTTGTCGTCACCGTCAGTGGCTTGTCCATGGTGCTGCTGTCGGAGAGCCTCAACTGTGAGGCGCTCTTGTGTTGCCTCCTTGCTTGTGCTGTGTGCACAAAACAAAATGTGACAGGCACGCTTTGGGGGGCTCCGTGAATATACCGGTTCTCTCACCCACCCTCTCAGCATCATGATGGTGGGTGGTATTATGCGTGTGCTGTGTCTACCTTCTGTAGGTGCTGCAGTTTCCCCCCCGCTCGTCTGCTGTCTGCTGTCCAGTCCAGGTACGGTGAGGGCCAAGGAATATGAACAGAAGCGTGCTCTCAGGAATAGGATCCCCCTTGGAGGGTGCCCTGAACGAAACACAAACATCACCCTTCCTGAGGTATTTTTTCTCCGCGAGGAAGTTTAGTTTTACACAGATCTGTGTTGCACGACTGCTGTAGCATACCGACACCGAGTAGCACAGCCAGCCGTAGGTGGACTACAGCAGTAGTACTGCTGGGTATGCCTAGCTACGGTAGCATGTGGACCACAGTGCGCATGTGTACCTGTCGCCACTTTTCTTTGGTGGTACTGCTGTGCACTGCTGTTGTACGTACTTTTCAAATAGTGTTCAAATATTTACGTGTGAAATTTTTCCATTGGAGCACGACAGCAGTGGCGGACGGACGTCGATGGTGTTGCCCGCTGGTTGCTAGCGAATTGTACACACCACAGCAGTTGTAGCAAGAGGCAACTACCACGCGCTTGCGCGACGGTCCCACAAGATATGGAGCACAAATAAATGAATCCTCTCTCTTCTCTGAGTAAAATTGCATTGTTTTAGAACACGCCCGCCAGACACAGCGGGCACGTCGTAATATTGTACCTTCCGTGTCCGACCAACTTGAAGAGAGTCGGTGCGCGTTGTTGTGGTGTTCGTCAGCAGCCACCTGGCGTTGCTATCACGTTTGCCCCCTCTGCTAATAAAAATTGTAGTGCCGAAGCGGGCCATGTCGTGACAAGATTCATGGGAAACGAAGTTGGCGAAGCTTTGACATCTCTTCCGTTCTCTCACTTGCACCCAACAACCTGCATCATCCATGTTGGCGAGTATTTTTCTTGCAGATCTACATAATAAGACTGTTTGATAACCTTGTCCTGCCCAAAACCAAAACCACATATCTATTCGACTACTATCTAGTCAACACACACGCACGGAAAATGGTCTTCAAAGAGTCGAAACGCGAGTATGCTACGTTCCCGGAGCCCAATGTGCGTGACCACGATCCGGTCGAAAGACGGTCAAGGCACGGGGTGGCGGCGGGCGTCGACCAATCAGATGGCGTCATGCGGCCGCTGCGCGCGGCGTATTGTCGCGGTGTAGTACCCGATTGTGACCGTGCTCGCACTGGAAATACCCGTTATTGGCCACCACTCATATAAAAAGACTGCTTCGCGCAGCCGTGCAATGCAGAACTCAACCAACCGTGTTAGAGGCAATCGTCCCGGGTCAGAGTTCTTGATTCAGTGAAACGAGGCAAAATACCACCGCTGGATGTTACGTTGAAGCTGCGTGCGACGGTTGATAAATGGGATGGCAGAAACAATATACAAGTTGCACCCGCACGTATTTTGCCTGCGCGCGCCTTTCTTTTCACAACGAACAACGACAGGTCCAAAGTAGCAGCAAAGGGACTTGCGAGAGCACGGAAACCGGGAACGTGGAGTGAAGGGGTATACCGTAGGTGACGTAAGATATCACATACCCCTGGACAGGTTTTCATTGCTCGATTTATCCCCTGCAGAAAGAGAGGAGGCGCCGACAACGGCGGCGTTCGTCGGCAGCTTTCCGGAAACGTACCGTCTCATCATATTTGCGTCCTCTTCGTCGTGGACAAACGGAGCTTTGACTATCGGTCCACGGGGTGTGGTATTTTGTGTCACCGACGGTAGTCTAGGTGTAGACGTCAGGCATGGCGTCAGGCATGGCGTGCCTGCAGTTCGGGACGGATGCATTCGGAAAAGAAATCCTTGAGCTTGTGCCGGCCACCCCCGCTGCCGCACCTTCTGAAACCGTCGCTATTGCTATAACGGCGGCGCCATCGATCGGAGATAGGGATCAGGACGATCACGAGCGTGCAGCAGGCGGCGCAACAGAGGCCGCAGCAGCAGCGTGCTTAGGGGAGGGGGGCGAAAGCATGCCCTACAAGGGTGAAAATACCATCGTTATGATGGAGTGGGAAAAGCCATACATGCGAGCGCTTGTGGACGCCTTGGCAATAACTGGTGGGTGGTCGGGGCGGTAGTCAGCTCGCGGAGAGATGCAAGATGAGTCCAATGATGCTTGCACTTACTTGTTGGTGACCACAAGGAAGGCGCCCGCGTCAATTAAACAAGTACGGATATTAGAAGGCACTGAGCGGAGACCGAAACGGTTATTACTGTGAAGATAACAACAACATGAACAACTAACCCCGGTGGCATCACCAACTGTGCCTGGTAAGAAAAGACGCTGAGGCAACGAGAGGGGCTCTTGGACCTGCTTTCATCCTCAGTTGACCGATCCATCCTAACCCCCGTCCCTCCGATGCCCCGCTCCACCTACAAGAGGAAAGCCGAGTGCTTGAGATAGGGTACGGCATCGGATACAGCGCGGATCGGATCCAGGAATTTTCACCCCGATCCCACACCATCATCGAGCCGGACCCGGTCGTTCTCGCCAGATTAAGGGGATGGGCGGCTGCACGCCCGGGGGTCCGGATCGTCGAGGGTTTTTGGCAGACGGCCCTGGCGACGCTGGGAGAGTTCGATGCCGTGTTCTTCGACGATTTTCCTGTGAGAAGCATGTTCTTGGCGTGTTGTTTCCTCCGGCGACCGCCACAATCGAAGCGAACGGGTGCCCGAAGCCGCGTGACTGCTGTACAGAACGGCCCCGCAAGTTCAGAAACGGCCTCCATGCCAGGCTTCGAATGTCCAGTCGAGTGTTTGGATGACGTCGGGACGAATCAGCAACTTATACGGTACAACCCCCCACCCATCCCCTGCCGCGTCTTGCCGTGTCCACCCTCAACACCTGCAGCTGCCGGACACCCCCGATTCGTCCGATTTGAGAGGCCCCGCGTCGCGATGGCACGCTTTCATAGACCTGTGCGCTGCCCACCACCTCCCAGTCGGTGGCCGAATAACAGGGTAAATACTTCAAAGTATATATATGTTGAGAGAAGTTGTTTTCATGAAAGTATGTAGGGTGGTGGCCCTTTGATCTTTATGATACAAGACAGACAGGTGTTCTTCCGTCACCTTTTCGTCGAGGCTCTGTCGCCATGAAGAAGTACGCGTGCGCCACGTGGGCCTACCCTTCCGGCTCCCAACCCCCAATTCCGCAGTAGTATTAGCATTCGCGATGATATGAAAGCTTGGGTTTCGTCGGGGGCACGGTGTGGGGCTAGGGATAAGGATAGGGATACGAAACCCTCCTGTCTACAGTAAAGATTAACAATATAAGCCCCGCGAAGGCGATCCCAACTGCGGGCCCCCCACGCCGAACATCTTGTGTGCGGCGATTGTTTCGTCGCGCATCCCCGCCAACCAAGCCCCCACTGTCTGTAACATTCGTGCGATTTTCACCCCGCTCTGCTCCGCAGATATCTGGCGAGACCGCTTCCATTGGAGCGACCGGGGTGCGTGCTGTCTCCCCTCGTAGCGTTTCCGGTAGACGTGCCAGAAAATTGCCCGTACTTCCCGTACGGTGAGGCGTATATTCCGCTGGTAACGCGGGCGGAGGCGGGTGCGGCCAAGGGCGCAGCTGCGGGAGGTGATGATGATGCTGGCACGGCGCTGGCGTCGTCATTGTTGCTCCAGAGTGTCAAAGACAGGGGAAACGGGCGTGGAGGATCGTCCCAGGAAAGGAAGAGACAGAAGCGCGAGGTGTTGGAGGCGCTGGTTAGGGAGAGCCTGGGGCTCAGTGCGATCGGTCACTAGGCTAGTTGTAGCTACTTCGTAGACGGTGGTTGAGCTCAGTCTTTTAAGCTACTGTAACCGAGAGACGTGTGGAGGCTGGATAGGACAGATCCTGCGCACACGTCCCATCCCGGCGACGTCTACTGTCCATGTTGCCCGGCACACGGATTGGAGGGACTGACGGTGAGTCGACGCTCGGCAGACTTGGGGAAGCGCAGATATTCCGAAGATACAGGGAAGGAAACCGCCCGTGCCATCGGGCGAACGTAGAGCTCATCAGCGACTATTAATAGGCTACACACACGGACCATCTGACTTAACACACGTAGACACTCACGCAAGAAAAAAATACAAGGAGATCTCCCCCTCCTAGAAGTAGAACGCTTGCCTGGGGCTACACAGCTCCATCTTTAAAGAGAGCTCTACATCAGCTCCAGAGGCGACAAGGATGTACATGTTGACCCCTGTCAATGGTTTTGGTAGAACAGGAAGCTACTACCGACGTCTGGGAGGGGATCACGCAAATATCCTCGATACCACGACAAACGTTCCTCCCATCCATGATGAATGACACGCAAGACCATACGTTACTTATCTCGTGCAGATACATACGTAAGCGCAACAAGTTGCGAGTCAAAATACAGAGTAGGGAACACGAGAGCTACACGCTCTGCTATAAAACAATACCCACACACAAAAAACATTTCGCACTTCTTCCTTAGGCAGCCCAAGCTGCCCAAGGCACCCCCGTAAGAGCGACTGATGGGGCCATGCAACTCGAAAAGTACTGGGGAGCTACCACGCATCTTGTAACACTATTTTGATATCGCACTCGCTGGAACGCTTTCGACATATATATCCATTCAGACCGACCCTTGCTCAGGGGGTAACGACGAAACGCTTCCCCCCCTCCCTGCAAAACATCCGCCTCCGCAACATATAACGACTACGACCGTACCGTCTCCACGAGCCGCTTCAAACGCATATGTGGCCTCTTCGCCACCTTCTCCAACGGGATCGTATCCCAATGCATGCCCACCCGTGTTGTGTACCACGCGGTACGACTAATGCCCCCCCAAGCCCCCCATTTAAAAACATGCCGATTAATTCCACGGACGAAAAATCCAATCTCACAAATACACTCTCTCCCCTGGCCGAGCCACTGCTTCACACTCCTCTCCGTACCGCTTGCCTCCCCCCCCCCCCTCCCGACCCCCGTACGAAGCACAATGTACTTAACCGACGAAAAATTGGCGTGTTGTGATCACAAGCATCGACAAGAGCGCAATTACATCGGCTGAAAAACAAGAACACCCCCCCCGCCCCCCCTCCCCACTTGCACATTTTTTGCATATCCTATCTTCACTGTCTCAAGTCCTCCTGGGCCGCTTCCAAGCCCAAGTTGGGGAATATTACGAGAAGCAACATGCGGGCTTGGAAGGTTTAACTGTTGGGTCTTCACCAAAATTTCTTGAGCACCACCAGAACCACGGACACGTTGTCTTGCGTGTACCGCTCGTTGATTGCCTTGCGCACTAGCGTCTCGCACACACGCTGGGTGTCACCGTGCATGCGCAGCTCTTTCCGCACGATCCTGACCACCTGAAACGAGCACAGAAACAACATGCAAGCGTCGTTCGTACGCTGTCCGCCTTCCAGGTCCAGTGAGGGAGGAACACAAAAGGTACTACCACACACCTTCAAGATGGGGACCAACCAACCCACTGCTAGACAAGAATGGCGACAGTCACACGGAAGGCTAATCTCAAGTCGACCACGTCCTGTTTCCAAGTGGGCGAGCTGGGTGGAGAAATTCCAGACCACGAGACCGTGTTTTGTCTCATGTAGAGTCGAAATAACCTTCCACCCTCCATTCAAACAAGGACCCCCACCAAGCATGACCCCCCCCCCCCCCCCCGCGGGGGACAAAAAAAAAAAAAAACGTGGGCCCGTCTCCCGGAACAACTGCCGAAGGGGGGGAACGCATCCCTGTCCCACGTGAAAAAAAAGAAAAAAATGTTGTGTCTCCCGAAAAAAAATGCGGGAAAACCCGGGGTAACGCACCCCCATCTCCCCAGGGGCCTTCCCGGGACAACCAAAGCCACACCCATACATACCTCCTCCCTGGTGAACACATCCAACAACCCGTCCCACGCCAGGAGCACGAACTCCTCCTCCGGCGTGATCCGGCACGACAGCATCTCCGGCTCCGCGGTGATGAAAGCCCCCGTGGGGTCCTTCACGGGCTT